TTGACTCTATCACCAACTTTAGGTGTAATGGAAGTTCTAAGTACGTGCTGGATGATACGGGCATCACAAACTAAATTTGCTACCTTAGGTAAATGATCCTTAAAGTTTACTCCTCTAATCACTCGATTTACTTCAGTCCAATTAAAATTTGTTGAGGTTAAGGTGTGTGCTCTTAATCCTTTAGTCCTTAAGTTTATGAAGATACCAAGGTCAGCCTTGGTGATTTCAGTTTTCTTTTTAAAAACAAAAGAACTTATGACAGAATGGTCAGAGTTGAAAGACATGTTCGCCAAAAAATAATGAAAGGTTTCTTTGTTGTAGAAGTGTACTAAGGTGAGGATTAAAACAAATTGAGTAGAGGTAAACAAGTGCATTACCTTAAAAATTAATTCTTCTTGTAGGAGTACTCTCGATGGGGTAATTTTCACGGAGACAAACCTAGCATAGGATTCTTCATTGGCTTTATAAAGGAAATTTTCAGAAGTGTTTCTTGGTAGACCCTTAGTCAAAGACTTTTGACGCTTGCTAGAACTTACCATTGAAAGATCTTAAGAGAAGAAAGATTTGAAAGAGATGTGTGAAAGTGACTGTTCAGTAAAAAAAATTGCCGTCAATTTATGGAAAAATGACTGTTCGTACCAGACGAAATTTTCGTTCGTCCCGTACAAAAAAAATTCGTATGGACGAACGAATGAGTCAAAAAAGAAATGGCTTTTCATAAACACACAACTTACGAAGCGTCCTTTTTGTACTGGCTTTTGACCAAAATGATCGTACAGATGAACACGTGTTCTTCTGGACGATCAGAAATTCAATTCGTTCTAATGGCAGTTGAAAACCATCCCCCGCTATGAACCAACATGTGTTCATCTAGACAAACTAATGGTTCGTACGGACGAAGTTCATATTAAAATGTGACTTATAAGTTCATATGTTTTAAAAATGACTCACCCAGAAAAATAAAACAAGAAAGGAGGGAAAAATACCCTTGGATATGTTGACAAGCTGTTCATGAAGGCATTACAGCTACTAAAAAAATAAAATGGAATTAGGATATTATTTCTTCAAAAAAAGGACATTAAAACTTTATTATTTTTAAAACAATTAAAATATAAAGAAAATTTCATAAATAATTACAAAACACAACATGAAACTCTTCATTACAAAAGTTCTTTATATAAGAGGAAGCTCACCCAGATCTTTCATAAACTCGCCATAATCATATATTTATTGTAGTTGGTAAGTCAGCTGCCATCAGGTGATATCTAAACATATAACATACGCTATCTGGAATGCATTCTGTCTAAGTCATTAGACTAATAATGTTGTCCAAGAGAAATGTCTGTTATTATTCTTGCTATTGTTTATGAAGGAATCAAAATGACAAAACACTATTTTTGCAGACCCAAATATTAAAACATGAACAAAATAAGTTAGAAAGTTAATTAAACTATTTTATCATTCGTACATAAGAACATCAGATTCTCCTGCTCAAGAAGAAACATAGAGGCTAATGTTATATAAGGAAAACTAATAGAATTAGATGAACCAAAACAAACATCTATTTTCTAGATATAGTAGCTTCATGTGCAGGTCACCAGCCAGCAATGGTGATGCCACCACCTAATACCAAGCTAAGGGATTCCTTCTAATCTCCCTCTCCAAATTGTTAATGCAAAACCTGTCTTTATTTGACTCCTGACCCTGTTCTATTTTTGCATGATAATCTTTTGTCTGTATTAATCTTCTACATATACTAACAGCACACTGTCCATCTCCAGTTGTTTCAGAAGCAGAAGTGCCTTTGGTTAGAAGGGACACAATGACCACTGGTTCTCGACGCATAGCAGAAATATGAAGAGGAGTATAGCCTCTGTCATTCTTTAGATTAACATAGGCCAACCTCATATCCAAATTTTTTGCAATAACTTTGGAATCACAGTATGTTGTTGCATAATGGAGAAGCATCATCTAAGGTTATGCCAGAGAAATAAATGTTATGTGAACAGTCAAACAAGTCAGTTGGTTGATAGATAAAAAATAATAGCTAATTTTGGATTCATTATAAATATTAATAACAAGCTGAATATATAAAAAAGTACAAAAAATAACAGAAACAAACAAACCCAAGTAATTCAAAGAAGGAAAAAAAAGGAAAGCACTCTGAAGGCTAGAAAGAGGTGAAAATAAATAGAAATCTAATCATAAAAATTTATCATTAAAGAAACTTCTTCCAGTTAAGTGATCAGTATTATTGCAATCATTAATATATTGAGGGAGAAGAAATCTACCAGTAGGTGTCTCTAAACAGAGCATATATCATCAGAATATATGAAGTTACTGATATATCATCAGAACATATGAAGTTACTGATATATCATCAGAACATATGAAGTTACTGAAAAGGACAAAGCTAAGGAAAAATATTTTCTTTTAGTAAAAATGGCAATTAGCTGGAAACATCATAAATAATTGTAACTTTCAATGTACATGTATATAAAAATAATTTAGAATGTGATGTTTTTAGTTAGAATGTATATAAAAATCATTGGATTTACTCTAAAAGAAAAAAATATAAATTTTGACTAATTAATCATATATTGTATTAATCTTAAAATAAATTTAATGAAGTCTATTTATATAAATAGATGTGCTGTTAGTTAATGGAGGCATATGCTTCAATTTGCAAAATGTTTTTATCAACTAAAGAAGAGATAGGATTGATTAAATTAGAACTATTAGCTTATATTTAAATATATTTACATAGTTTTGTATAAGATGCTATATGAATTATAGTAATAATGGATATTCTGTAAGCCAATTGAGAAGCTAAGGGCACAATAGATTCCTGATTCACAACTCAGTGTCTATTCAAATCATCACAACATTAAAAGGCTACCAATCCCAATTTCAAGATCCTTTTTTATTTTAGTTATTCTATTTAAATGAAGTGAAGGGTTGAGAAGAGCAGAGATTTCTACTTGCTTTAAAACCTTAGCTTTATCTTCATTTTCTCAATTCTTATGTCTTTGAGGAAAGCACTCCTACGGTATTGCAACGACAAGCAACTATAGCTAATTAGTCAATTTATTATTTTCTTTAGCCAAAATGCAAAAGAGAAATATCAATGCATTAATAGAAATAACACAGTGAAATAACACAGTGATTTACTTTTTAAGTATAAATAAATGTATTATTTATTTTATGACTAAATTATGACTAAATTTATTTATTAAATGAATTAATAAATTTTAATAAATAATACATTTATTTATTAATTATCATATTATTTATTATAATAACTAAGAAAATGACATATTGTTTCAGCTAATAAGTTTAGCTTGATTAATGGGGTCGAAAAGAGGAATTTCGACAGACTGATGGGTTAGGTAAGTAGGAAGTTGCCGTGTTTGATGCAAGGGATGGGAGATGCTGGATTGATGGGTTAAATAAGGAATGAAAGTTCAATTGTAATCAATAGAGTTCCCCAGTATTTCTTGATGCCTCCATATCCTTTTTTGAGAAAGCTTTAGGCCTTATTTAATTTGCCTTCTTTTATAAATTAAGTTGACAAATTGTAATAAGAAATCTATCTCAAAGTAGCTTCAAAAGCACATCTTTTATAAAATAATATTCTCCAACAAAAAAAACCTATGATTTTTTTTTTTGAGATTTTTGCATAGATAAGCCTTAAATCATTGCAAACTAAGATTATTAAAAATGTAAGTCTTGATCACTAATAAGAAATCTATCAGACATTCATATGACAACATCACAATAAGAATATTTATCTATTTGACCTCCATTGCCCAATATCAGTAGCAATTAATTAGAATTTCCACGCAAAAATGATCAAGAAAGCATCAAAGCATAGATAGTAAGAGCAGAACCTATAATTTGTACTCCTTATAATTGAAATTAACTGTTATAATAAAAAAAAATTGTAAGCATGTGAAAATAAAGAAGAAGAAGAAGAAGTGTAGAGACAAATGAGGCAGGGAAAGGAGGAAGAAAAACAATAGATGAAGAAGATGAAGAAGCAAGAAGAAAAAACGGGGCTACCTGTGCGTAAGAGAGGACCGGCGACAGGAAGTGTGCGACAGGCTAGGATCGATTAGATGGTAGGCGAGTCGGGTTGGAGGGAAGAGGGTTGGGCTTCAGCTAGGGTAGATGATCGGGGACGAGGTCGGGACCGACGTTGCCTGACTTCAGGTCACGCGAGAGAGGGAGAGGCGGAAGGGGCTTCTTTCCGTCCGTGTTGTGCGAACGAGAGGAGAACGTGAGGGAGAAGAAGTCGGGCGACGAAGAATAGCGGGAGAGTAGCTTCATTTCACGTGCAAATGGCAGATAAGAACAACGTCATTTCTATGGAACTGAAGCGATTCATACAAACAGTCACAAATTAAGTGCCTAGATTTATTTAGCGGTTTAAAACGTAGGGTCGGGATGATCTATGGGGAGAATACAAGCGGCACTTTAATACAATAGTATAGATATAGATTTAGAGGCCTTACTAATTTTTTGTCGCTAAAAGATATCTTTAGCGACCAATTTTTTTTGTCTCTATTTTTTTTTTGTCGCTATTGACCCATTTTCTTGTACGTAGGAATCTATAGGATGTACTTTGTAGGTTGCTCATTTATTTTTTAGTTATAAATGCATTTATTGATTCTTAAAAAAAAAAAAAAAAAAGGGCAGTTCAAAACTGTTCACTCCGGTTTGATTATATGCTGATTTTTAAGGTGGATCCAATCATACATATGACGTGTTCACGATTTAGCCAGTCTAACCGGCAGGTTTATCCCATTTTCAAAATCATGAGAAAAAGTATAATTTTATTTATATTACTAGAAAAATATCCTAGAAACCTCTCTCATAACAGGCTCAGAAACGCTTAATATTACATTGTAAAATTAAATGAATTACTAGCGCGGAGCGGTATGCACAATAAAAACCTTTAAATGGCATCTATAAATAATCACCTATCCACTGCTATTCAACCTTGATATAATCTCTCGAAGATAAGCAAAATCCTCAACTTGTTCTTCTCTATAACTTTGTCGAGGCATCATCATGGTTAAGGGTTCCTTCACTGATGAGAGTTTTTGGAGCGTTCAGATCGATAGATTGTGGAAAGCACGTATAATTGATGGATACAACTTGTTGCCGAAGCTGTTGCCTGACTTCATTTCAAAGGTGGAGATTATTGAGGGAGATGGCGGAATTGGCACCGTAAAGAAGCTCAGCTTCACCAAAGGTTCTATGAAATTCGCTATCAAAGTCTTAATTAGCTTCTTTCATGTTTGATACCTACCTTATATATTCATGTTCTACCTTAACATTATTTTGTTATACTCGCTCTAGTTAACTGGTGAGGATTCCTTTTCATTAGTAAAATATTCTTTTTCTCAGTATTGCTTAGTTAACAAGTAGTAGCTGAATTCAATTTTCTTCATGGTTTTCTACAAAATATTTATAAACTGCTTCTTTGAATTTTCTCCGTATGATTGACTACATATTGTCTTATTTCATTTAAATATTCATTTAACCTTGAATAATGCTCACCATTTCTGCTGTTTGAGCATCTTATATTTTCTTATCACTTCTTTGGATGGATCATCATCATCCTTGTAAGACTCTCAAGTGTTGGTATTATGAATTATCATTCACTCCTTTCAATTGCATGCCGCACGGAAAAAACATTCATAAAACTTCTAACTATATTTATTTTTTTCTATCTATTTCCGTTTCAATTTTGTTACATGATAGTTTAACTAAGTTGTTGCAGATATAAATGGCAACGGCTTCGTCATAGAAAAGATCATGGCGCTCGATATGGATTGTTACCTTGTAAAAGACACCGTCATCAATGGAGGGCTTATCGGGCCAAGACTGATTTCTTACTCTTTCGAGCACAAATTTGAGAAAATAAGTGATCACAGCACCTTGGTTAAACTAACCGTTGAATATGAATCATCTGATGAATATCCGCTTAGTGTTGAGGAGCAAAACCTGCTCATAGTAAGGATGACTGGGATTATGAAGGCTATTGAAGGATACCTTCATACACATCCAACCGCTTATGTTTGATTTCAAGACAAATTATCTATTAATATGTCTGCAATTTCTCGCATCAGTATTTCTACGGTCTGTCATAGGTAAAGATGGTTCAGTGTTTGTTGAGTCACTTTATTTTGATTCATAAGAGGAAAAAATATATCTTGCTTTCCTCTTTCTTCGTATGTGAAAGGAGTATTAGCTGATGTGTTATAAGTGTTAGAAGGAATGAGTAATCACCAATATTTCGATCGGTTTTCTTTGTGATAAATGCTCGGCGTATGATTTCTACATCATAACTGAAAATATGAATTGGTTTCCATCATGTTACATCATTGGCTACATAAATTATTGGCACTAGAGAAAATAAAATAACTTGTAAATGTTTCATTGGGCAAAAGAAACAAAGATGCTTTGACTTCATGGAGGGGACAAATGTTAAACCTAATGACAGGTGATTAAAAGTATGACAAGTGGTCGTACATATTAATTTAATTATATTAGGCACGACGGCAAAAAGAATTAATAATCCAATGAGAAGTGATTTGAGGATGACCTTTGGGCTTCTTGTGAGATAAAAAAAACTGATTCAGTAAATAAACGATGACTTCAAGAAGCTTGCAATTTTACTCCAATTATTTCGAGAATCCAGCAATTAAAAATCGACTAAAAATATTTTTGAGTCGCAGTGGGTAAAATTAAAAATTCGATGTAATTTCAAATTAATTTTAAAGTTAGGGCCCCTTGCCTAAGAGGTGATATGGGCCGGCTTCATATATATATGTATAATCTTTATTAATAGTTGGCAAAAATTGATTGCTGTGGTGGTCCTTGATGTTGATTAATTAGAAAATGTCTAAAATATTTGAAACCCCCAAATGTTAGGATTTTAGCATGAATTGACCTCCAATTGGCTTGTAATCGAAGAGTATTTACAGCTAAAATAAAAAAAGCCAAGAAAGAGAGAACATTTAAATAAGCTTGTTAAAATTTCTCATTAAAAGAGATATGTTGTAAAGTCCCCTGTAGAATGTTGTTTTATGGATTTATTATTAATGATAAAAATATAGTGCTCTATCACCTCTAAATAATGATTAGTTTTTTTTTTATATAAAAAAATAATAAATCCACACTTAATATACGTAAGTATACGTACCTAATCAGGTAATAAAGTGATTGTGCTTTCTTAATGAGACTATAATTGCAACAAACCACAATGAAGTATGCTTACTTTCAACAAATTACTACTATTTACTCTAATTGCAATAATTATCCTACTGAAAAAAATGACGTTCTTTTTGAGATTCTATTACCGAATAATATTAAAAATATAGGATACAATATTTAATTAAAGTATTTTTAATTAAGCAAATTAAATTGCATATCATTCTTAATGAGACTCTTCAAGGTAATGTGATTCAGAGCATATGCATTCAAAGATCTCCATTTAGTTTGCAGGGGTGAAAATGATATCTGATAACCTCCTACAGTTATAGTATCTCATTAAGAACCTAAAATATTTTACATCCTTTGTCTAGGCATGCAAACTGTTGAAATAGTTGCAACCAAGTTTTTTTATTGTTGATATTCTTGTAACAAGTATATTTATGAGGATTCCAAATATTATTATTTTTAATTACAATTCTTCCTAACAAATTTTGAATGTATTATTGTGTTGTTTATGTGTACTAACATTTTAAAAAAATCATACTCCGGATTGTTGAAGACTTCAAATTAGATCAGATTAGATTTTATTATAAATGAAGTCTATATTTTCATTTTATTGAGTTTGAAAGAGTGTGATTGTAATTGAGTAACTATGCACACACACACACACCGGGAGAGAGTTTAAAATATATAATTTTTAAACTGATCGTACTGTATGAAGTCATTTCGTAGGGGATGATTTGTTTAGTTATTTTCCCCTACGAGTAGTCAAACGAACAGGAGGTAGAATTTTCTTTTAAGTATGGATCGTATTGTACGATGTCTTCATCATACATACGACATCCAGTGTACGAGTTTGACAGGTCCTTTTTTGTCATGATGATTTAAAAGCTTTTTCGAATGGTTCGTACCATATAATGTCGTCCATCGTACGTACGTCATCTAGTGTACGAGTTAGACAAGTCCCTTTTCATCCCGATGAATTCAAAGTTTTCCTAAACAGATCGTACTGTACGATGTTGTCATCGTACGTATGCTGTTTATTATACAAGTTGGAAGGGTCCCTTTTTATCCTTAAAAACTTCAAAATTTTCTGAGCTGATCGTACTATACGATGTCATAATCATACATACGCCATCCAGAGTACCAAAATGTGGGGTCTCTCTTCATTCTGAAGAAGATGATTTTTTTTTAATTGTTCATACAATATGAACTTGGTTCGTATTGGATGATCATCATGTATGAAATCATTTCATACAGATTCACAACAGGTTCATATGCAACCATTTTTGAACTGTTTGTTCGTGCAAACATACGATCGTACTGTTCGAGTGTACTCGCTCAAAATGAAAATTTTTAGATTTCTAGACAAGTTTTCTTGTCTTACATATAAAAGGTCTTTTAAAATTGATGTGAAAAGAGTCATTCTTCATAATTTTTCAAGAGCAAGTGAAAGAGTGCATTTGAGAGAGTGTTTGAGAGTGATTTCTTGCAAGAGAAGTGTGAAGGGTTCACAAGATTACTAAACGGTAAGGATCTCTTTGTGTTTTTGGTTGCAACTCTTCTTTTCTTATTTCTAGTTGCTCAAGGGAAGATCTTTGAATTAAGATGAAGGTACTCTGCCGACACTTATAGAGTGTGAACAGAAGACGATACTCTACTGACACATGGATGTAAAAGGATGACGGTACTCTGTCGACACTTGGAGGGTGTGAAAGGATAACAATTTTCTATCAACACTTAGAGGGTATAAAAGGATGACGGTTCTCTATCGACACTTGGAGAGTGTGAAAGGATGACGATTCTCTGCCGCACTGGAGATTGGTGGAAGAGAAGAATTGTAAAGGCTTCTCCGCCTTACTATAGGGGCGAAAGGAGAGTCAATTTGGTAATAGTGCAATACCTGAAGAGGGAGACTTCAGGGAGTGGATGTAGGTTATGTTTGACCGAACCATAATAAATTATTGTGTCTTTTATTTTCTACATTTATTTACTGTAATGGCTGATAATCTTAACCAGTTTAATCAAGAAGAGGTATGTGACTTAACCTATGCTGAATTGCTTGAAATTTCTAAAAGAATATATACAATATAAAGAAAATTTAAGAAAATGCATGCTAGATTAAACCTAGAATTACAAGAATTATAAAAAGTGCATGAAACCTTTTGGAAAGATCATGCACTGATATATAACAAGCACATGAGCTTACTTAATGATTTCTATGGTTTGCATAAACAGAATGATCTTTTCAAACATCCTACACTGAATTGGAAAAAGATTTTAAGAATCTTAAGGATGAATTTGAAAATATAGAGCATTATTTAAAATATGATATTAATGTGTTAGAAGATGTAAACACATTTCTTAAGTTGAAAGTGAAAACTCTTGAGAAAAATGGAAAACCCTATACACTTTAAAATTTTACTAATCCTATTTTGAGGTCAAAACTTTTAAAGCCTAGGAAGAGACATATTTATTAGCAAAGTTTAAAAAACTGATTTCCTGGAGTTAAGTGCTTTACTTGTGGGAGATTGGACATATTTCACACACTTGTACTTTACATAGAAAAACTCATTTAACGTGGAGATCTCATATGCATAAATTAAGTCATATCATGCATGCATCTAATTTTATTTTACCAAAAGTAGAACACAAACTTGTTCGGGTTCCCAAGTCTAACATTTGATTATTTTGTAGGTATGCTCTCATATAAGACCTCATGAGAGAATTTAATACATGGACAACAGTTTCTTGAAGCATATGATTGGAGACACTACACAATTCATATCGCTAGAAGCTAGGAATGGAGGCAGATTACAATGGGAGATAATACTAATAGGAAAGTGGTTGGCACATATATGATCAAAAAAAGCAAACTTTTTTATAAAAAATATATTTCTTGTTACAGGCTTAAAGCATAATATGTTAAGTTTTAGCCAGCTTTGAGATAAAGGGTATAGCGTTAAATGTTTTCCCACTAGCTGCATGTTAAGCCTAAATAGAAATGATGTATTACATGGAATTAGGGTAAACAATATTTATATGCTAGATTTGAATTTTATTAAAACTCATAATTTTTTTTGTTTTAAAAATAATTTCTGATGATTCATGGTTATGGCATAGAAGACTTTATCACGCTAGCATGGAAAACCTTAGGAAAATTACATAAAAGGAACTAGTTAGAGGTATACCAAAATTAGACTTTATTAAGGATCACCTTTGCTAGGCATGTCAACTAGGAAAATAGGTGAAATCCTCATTTCATTCCAATAAGGATCTTAGAACTAGTAAACCATTAGATATTATTCTTATGAATATTTTTGGACCAGTTAGCATTGTAAGTCTAAGAGAGAAGGTATAAGAACTTGTGATAGTTAACAATTTCTTGAGATTCAGGTAGGTTAAATTTTTATTTCATAAGATTGAATCGTTTGAGAAATTTAGAGATTTTTTACTTGGATTTAGAGGAAACAAGGGTGTTAAATTTTAACAATTCAAAGTGATCATGGAGGTGAATTTAAAAATGAAAAATTTGGGGATTTTTTTAAAAAATATAAAATTTATCATAATTTTTCTGCACCTAGAACCCCTCAACATAATGGGGTAGTCAAAAGAAAGAATACAACATTAATTAAAGCATCTAGAGCCATATTGGTTGAATTTTCACTTTCTAAATATTTTTGGGCTGAAGCGGTTAGTACTGCATGTTATATTTTTAATAGGGTGAACATTAGATCAAAATTGAACAAAACACCGTATGAGCTTCTTAAGGGGAGAACACCTAATATATCACATTAGCATATTTTTTGATGTAAGGTGTTCATACATAATAATGAAAAATCTTCTTTAGAAAAATTTGATCCAAAATGAGATGAAAGAATTTTTCTTGGATACTCTAGTGTTGAAAAATTGTATAGAGTATTTAACAAAAGAACTTTGGTAGTTAAGGAGACTACACATATTGTATTTGATGAATCTGTTATTTTAGAAGAGCCAAGTTTGGAAGATGATGATTTAGAAAATAACTCCCAAAGGATTGAAAAGATTAATATTGAAAAAAATTTGGAGATA